CCAAGCCCAGCGCGATCAAGCCGTCGTCGCTCAGGTGGCCGAAGGACTGGGGCTTGATGCAGTCCACCCCCGTCGCCGTCGACGCTTTGAACGACGCCGCCGCTCGCCTGATGGCCTCTGGGGCGGGCGCCACACCTGCCTCCTCGAGCAGCTCGGAGGGAAGGGCGTCGTCCAAGTCGAGCGGCATCACCTCCTTGTGCCTCCACACCTCCTGGTACTCGTCCCTCAGCGCGTCCAGCGTCGCCGAGATGCCTGCTGGCCCCCCTTCACCATCGAGGTCTGGGGCCCAGGCCAGCGGCGCCTTGCAGTAGCGGTGGGCGGCGCCCGCACCGTCCTGCACCGCCTCCTGCGCCCACTGACGCCACTGCTGGCACCGCTTCTTGCCACAGCGATCCTCCAGCTTCGCCGCCAAGTCCCTGGCCTCTTGCTCCAGCTTCTCCAACTCGCTGAAGGTGAGGTGGCTGAGCGTGTGCAGCTGGCGCTTCCACCTGCGAACCTCCCCCTCCGTGAGCAAGTCGCCGCCAAGGTCATCCGATGCCAGGGCACCCGCCTTGGCCGCGAGCCCCTTCAACTGGTCCAGGGCCGCTGGGATCGCCGTCTCCACGTGCAAGCGCCTGCGAGCTGCCATCATCTCCCACATGACGGCCCCGATGCGGCGCCATCGAGCAGAGACTGGGCAGCCCTTGGGGTGTGGTCCCCCGCCTGGCTGCAGCACGTCCCTCTTCACGAACTTCGGGTCCGCCGCGCGCCCGACGTACAGGTGGGCGTCCGTCGGCGGCACGTGGTACAGGCCGAGCAAGTCGGCCTCCATCAACTTGGCAAACTCGCCGTAGAGCAAGTCCACCATCCCCTGCGGCTCCAGCGCCGCCACGTCCAGCGTCACAGAAGCTGCGCCTCCGCTGGGTGCCTGATGCGACAACGCTGAGCCAGTGGGTTCACCTGTTGGCCTCTGAGGGCCCCTAGGGTCAGCTATAGGGTCAGCTATAGGGTTCAGCTCTCCCTGCTGACATCGCTCCTCTGATGGTGGTGCCGATGACGTATCAGAATCCTCACTGATGTGGGGAAGAGCCTCCTCCTCCGTTAAGTCCACCACGACTGGGTCCTCCACCGTGTCGCCGTACAGGCCGAACACTGCGTCCGCCCAGTCCTCGTCGTAACCAGCCCTGAAGTGCTTGACACCTCGATGGCGCTGTGTGGGAGGTGGGGGTTGGGGGGGGGGGGGGGGGAGGATGAGGCGGGGGCGGGCTGGCGGGGAAAGACTGAGGGGGCTGGGGGTGGAGGGGGGAAGTTTGGACGGGGGACTGGCTGGAGGGAGAGGGAACCGGGTCTACGGCACTGTAAGCCTCCCACAACACTGTCGAGCCTCCAGCCAGACGCCGATGGCTCGCCCAGCGCCTCCGCTCCTGGGAGCCTCGTACTCGCTGCACCTGAGGTAGCCCCAGTCGCGGAACATGTGGCGCCCTCTGCCCTAGCCACCGCGCTGGAGTCAAAGACCCCAGCGGATAAAGGCGTAGGGTGAGTCTGGCGGCCGAGAAGGAGTTGCCGAACTCCCAGTCCAAGCCCCAGTAGGACTCGAGGTGGTCTCCGCAGCCCCAGGCCTCTGCACGGCGGCCCTGACTTGGACCAGGCTGACCCCGTCCTCGTCGTCGTAATAGGGCGCAGGCGCCCGATCGCCGAGGAGAGCACGCAGGTCGTCTTGAACCTCGCGTAGTCTGTCCCAGTGCATGGCTACCGCGACGCGCCAGTCCTGCAGGTCCTCTGCCTCCGCCAGCCTGCTAAGGTGCTGGACCATAGCAGCACGGCTGGGCCCGCCTCGCGTCCAGGCCTCCTCGCAGTACTCTTCCGCGATGGCTTGGAGGGAGCGCCCAGCAGACACCGACGGGAGCCACTGGGAGTGCGGGTGGCGCTGCAAGGTCTCCATCATGTAGGGCACGCACCAGCTGAGCCAAGCGTCGTGGCCCCCGTCGGCGGAGTCCAGCCGAGGGACCCAGCTACCAGCACGAGCCGACATCGTCGCCAGGAGACGCGTCTCAGGTGCCGCCGATTCGACGTGCAGGTGCCGCTCTGGCGCGCACATGTCGCTGGGCTCGCCGTCGTGGGAGCTCCCGTCGGCGGCTCTCAGGGGGCTCGCCGGTTGCGGGGCTCCCGGAGCCACGGCGACCCCCAACCTGGCCAGCACCGCCCGCGCCAGCCCCAGAACTGGCGCCCAGTCTGGCGGCTCGCGCCGTGGGCCCACAGGCCGCTGCGCTGGCAGCGTGCGCGCCGCTTTGTGCACCAGCCTGCGCTCGGGGAGCCCCCTCACGCTCAGCTGCAGGCGCACGGGCCAGTGGGGCGCCAAGGCCGTGTCCAGCCTGCTGCAGCCCTTGACCATGCCGCCCAGGCCGCTCGATACCACGAAGTAGTCGATCTCCGAGCCCGAGCCGACGCGACAGGTCGGCACGCCTGGCGCCACCACCATGCCGTCGACCTCCTGGGGCCAGCCCCACGCCTCCAGCTCCTGGGGCTTGCAGTTCCAGTCGCCGCCGATGACGTAGGGCACCTGCACGTAGGCCAAGTACTCGCCCAGCTGCCCCAAGATGAGCTTCGACTCCGCGTCGAGGCCCTTGGCAGCCACCAGGTACACCGACACCGCCAGGAAGCCACCAGGCACTCCGCAGTTGACCCAGCGCGCGATCACGCGGTCCTTGGGCAGCTTGGGCCCCTTGGGAGCCTGGCCCATGCCGATGTGGGCACGGACGCCGACGCCCACACCGCTGGAGAGGCCGCCCTTGTCGGTGCGCACCGACTCGGTGAAGGCCACCTTCCAGCCCTCTCGGCGGCAGGCCTGCTCGACCTCGGCCGCCGCTCCTGGGGCCACGCCCACCTCCTGCAGGAAGACCACGTCGGCCGTGGCGTCCTGCTGCAGCCAGCGCATCATGCTGCCGCGCGCCGTGGTGTTGGCCGTGTCCAGCCGCCAGGCGCCAGCCTCACGCCTAGTCAGCGCCAGCCGCCGCCTGGCCTCCACCGTCGCCGCGGGCGCGCTTGGCCTCGGGGAGGTCGAGTCCGACGGCCTGGCACGCCTCCTCGAACTTGCGGCGGTTCTCGCCCTCGAGCTTGTCCACCTGGTCGAAGAAGGTGTGGCCGCCCCCTTCTTCTGCTGCTGCCGCGCCAGTGGCCTGGCCCCGCTCGCCGTCTGCACCAGCATCAGCAGCAGCACCAGCAGCAGACGCGTCGCCCGTGCCCATGGGCACGCCCTCGGCCGCCTTGCGCTCGGCTGCCGCAAGCTCGGCACGGATGGCGTCGGCCTTGCGCTGCAGGGCGCCTCGCGCGGCCTCGATGGTCCCTGCGTCGGCTCCGTAGCCTTCGAGCGAGCCCAGCGCCTCCAGGCTGGTGACCGCCTTGGCCAGCTCGGCAGCGCGGGCCGAGCTGCAGCCAGGCGGCAGCCCCGTCTTCTCCATCTGCTTGGCCAGCTCCAGCTGCTCGCGGCCCTCAGTCTGGCGCTTGCGGGCCACGTCCAGCGCCACAGTCGCCTCGTCCAGCGCGGCCTTCGCGAGCCGCACTCGCTCGGTGGCCTCGACGTGCTCCGCCGCCCTCGCCGCCGCCTGCTTGTCCAGCTTCTGCATACGCCAGATGCAGTTCTGCAGGACGTCGGAGTAGGTCTTCGGCTTGGGCGCGCGCGGCGCCTCCTTGGTCGGGCCCAGCTTGGCGCGGTCCTCCTCGCCCACGACCACGCCCTTGGACGCCAGGTGCTCCAGGAAGGAGGCGACGTCCGCCTCGCTGAAGCCCGTGCTGGGCGGGGCCTGAGCTGGCGCCTCAGCGCTGGCCGCGGCGTCGCCAGTCGGGGCACGAGCGTCCCTACCGACGGCCTTGGCCTTGCCCTTGCCCTTGCCCTTGCTTCCGCCTGCTGGCTGCGCACTCGGCTGCACGCCGCCAGCGTTGGCCAACGCCAGCTGGCGCACCGAGAGCGGTGCCGCTCGCCCACAAGTGCGGCACGCCAGCCTGCAGGCCCAGTTCCCATCGGTGCCGCAGGCGCAGCCCCAGGCCGGCTTGCGGGGCCCCGGCAGGACGACGGCCGCCGAGGGCGGCGGGCGCTGCCAGGGCGCGGGCGTCGGCCCTGCGCCAGCGCTGCGAAACCCGCGAGCGCCGCCGCCGCCGCCGCCGCCTCCCCACGCTGCGAGGCGCGGCGCATGCTGCGGCGCCCCGCTGGGAGCCATCGCGGAAGCCCAAATGTGTACGGAATGATTCCCTCTCTCGCGGCCAGATTGGCACGCACGAACGCGCCGCTCTGAAGTACGTTCGTGCAAGACCCCCCCTTCTCCTCAGGAAGAGCCCAGAACGGCTTGAGCCAAAATGGCTACGGACACCTCCACCTCCTCCTGTTCCTCATCCTCCTCCTCCTCCACCTCCTCCACCTCCACCTCCTCCTGCTCCTCCTCTTCCTCCCTCGGCCCGGCTCGCATGCTGGAGGTAGATGGGTCAAGAGGCGAGGCCTGCCCACAGGCGAACCTGCAGGCGAACGGAGGAGCAGCAAAGGGGGAACCCAGAAACCAGACGCCGCGAGTTTTTTCACGGCGCGGCTGGTCCCTCGGGGAACATGACACTGCGGCAACGTGTGCCGTCGGAGGTCCGCGCGGAGCTCTTGGATCGGCGCCGAGCCCTCCCCTCTCTGGCGCACTGAGCGCGCCAAGGGGGCCCAGCGCCAGTCCGAGAAACGATGCCTGTGACGCTGCATGCTGCTCGATACAGTGGGGGCGTTGACCTAAGGAACCCTAAATCAGGAACGAGGCCCCTTTTTTCTATAAGTTAACCTTCGATTTCCGGTCGAAAACACCAGGAAAGCCTGAGGCAAGCTGTGAAACACTTAAGGGACACGGAGCCCCTTCCCAACGAAAAGGGCTCCTTCTTCAGCGCCCCGACCGCACTCGCGCGGGGAGGCGCCTGCGAACCGCAGGCTGCGAGCTGCCAGGGGGGTGGGGGGGCGGCGAGGGGCGGCGCCGGGCCTCCAGGCGCGAGGCCAGCACGAAGCCGAGGCGCGCCAGCGCCTGCCAGCTGCCGCTGCCCTTGTGGATGGCGAGCGCCTCCTTGAGGTCGTCCACGGCCTTCCGCTCCTCCCCGTGGTCCAGGCGGGCCTGGGCTCGGGCGGAGAGGCCCGGGGAGGAGGAGCAGGGACGGGGCCCTTCCTGGAGCGACCTGGCGTCGGGCGGGAGCGGGAAGGAGGAAGGGGGGGTGAGAGGGGGGGGGAGGGGGAGGGGGAGGAGGAGGAGGAGGAGGAGGAGGAGGAGGAGGAGGAGGAGGAGGAGGAGGTCGAGGAGGAGGAGGAGGAGGAGGAGGAGAAGGAGGAGGAGGAGGAGGAGTGGTGGGGGGGACAAGCTAGGTGCACTCGCGCCATATCTGAAGTCGTGCCCCTCCCCCCCATCCCTTCCTTGCAATGGCGTAGATGTCCTCTCGATCCGCACAGTCAGACGTCGAGCAGGGCAACGATCGCGAGAGGGTACGCGACGCATGGTAAAGCACGGCATGCCAAGGCGTAGAAGAGCACGGCAGAGCGCAGCATACCATAGCATGGCGTGGCATTGCGCAGTGAAGCATTGCATCCCAAAGCATTCCAACGCAAAGCGTGGCATCGCACAGCGATGCAGAACACAACACCGCACAGCATGTCATGGCCTAGCGCCAGCTTCTTTGGAGGGTAAGTGGATTGTCTTCGAGAGGTCTGGGCCGGTCTGGAATCGTGGCTCCATGTCTAGCTCCGTGGACCCCCGAAAAGCTCCACACAAGGCGGGGCTGATCGAAAGGACCCGCTGGCTCTGCTTTCAACATCGCCTTCTCAAAGCAGAAACGGGGCTCCCGCTCGAGACTTCCTGAGAAAGACGACGCCCCAAAGTGGGGGGGGGGGGGGGCTTCTGCGGCCCAAAAAAACAACGAATCGGCACCGAATGTGTCACTTCCATGGTTTTTTCGGGGGGCATTTTCTAGATTTGGGGGCCTATTTTGAAGCAAGACCAACGCTGCAGCGGGAGCACGATTCGGAACGACGGAAAGCGAGGAAATGAGGCCAGCGCTGCAGCGGGACCACGATTCAGAACAAGCGGAAGCCTAAAAATGAAGCCAGTGCTTCAGCAGGAACCGCATTTTGAAAAGAAAACCCAAGCGGAAAACCGTTTCCCGGGAATCCTCTTGTGAAAAACAATACGCGAAGGAGGGCCAGATATCTTCCAGACGTCATCAGGGAAGACAGGAGGGTAGTTTTCAAATTGTGAAATTGTGGAGGAGGAGGAGGAGGGGGAGGAGGAGGGGGAGAAGGAGGAGGAGGAGGATGACGAGGAGGAGGACAATGAGGAGAAGGACGAGGAGGAGGAAGAAGAGGGTGGAGGGAGGAGGAGGAGGAGGAGGAAGAGGAGGAGGAGGGGTGGGAGGAGGAAGGGGGTGGAGGGAGGAGGAGGAGGAAAAGGAGGAGTTGGAGGAGGACGAAGAGGAGGAGGAGGAGGAGGAGGAGGAGGAGGAGGAGGGAGAAGGAGGAGGAAGGGGGATGGAATGGAATGTCCGAAGGGAGAGTGCACAGCACCAAAGCCTGTGTGCTTACACAGGCGTATCTGCCCCTGGCGGTTTCTTGAATACAAGTTCTGTCTACGAGAGTGGCCATGCGCTGCTCGTGAGAGCGGGCTACCCCTGAGGCCGAAAACGTGATACTGACCACCGTCAGGTCTGGTATCAATCACATCAGACTCCGAAGAGGCCAACATCTCCGACCGATTGGCGACAAGCCTATTAAGCTACACGTAACGATCCAGGAGTTCCTCGGCCCGACGGTTGGGCGGCTTCCCCTGGAAGAAGCAGTGACTCACCTCACGACACTTGCGAATGGGGGCCTTACAGGGGCTAGCCAACTTAGATGATAGGGGGGGGGAGGAGGAGGAGGAGGAGGAGGAAGAGGAGGAGGAGGAGGAGGAGGAGGAGGAGCAGGAGGAGGAGGAGGCACCACCTGGCGGACGGCGATGAGGCCGCCGCGCGACGACTGGCGGGAGCCGCGCACAAGGCCCAGCGTGGAAAGCACTGTCGGCATCGAGGCGAGCGCGAGCGCTGGAGACCTCGGGGCCGTCTGAGCGCCGAGGCGGTGCCGAGGCTTCTCGTTCAGGTGCGCGAGCTCCCGGTCCCTGGCGACAGCCAAGCCAGGGAGCTGCAACATGCCTACAAAGGAGGCGCGGGCAGGGGCAACAAAAACGACACCGAAGATTGTCCAAAACCGAAGCGGGCCGCTGTTGGGCAGCCGGTCTCTGTCACACATGGACAACGTCCGCGGTGGCATCGGCAGCGGCTCCTGTGCAGACAGGGCAGGGGCCACTCTTGGCATTCGCTCATACCCTTCCCGTCCCGTCCCCGCATGGACCCCCCTCCCTCTGGCTCGTCTGCACATGGGCCAGGGAGATAAACCCTACATCCACCTAACATGCACAACAGGATGAAGGCCGAGACGAACTCAGTCTTGACGCAGATCGAGAAGGCCACAAAGATGTAACCCCCTGGAGGAACCCACGAAGATGTTGACCTCAAAGCACCAGGGAACCGCGAAGATACCATCCAAGCCGAAATGGCTATGAATTCCTTGTCGTGCGTCGCCAAGCACCGGTGGCCAAAGACGAACACCCGGCGACCATGTAGCCGCCGATTGACATGCAGGAGAAGAACTCCAGCAAGGAAAGGGACAGAAATGTCGGCCGTGGGGCAGATGTGAACTCAGCGACCAGCGACCTAATGAAGACGCAGCGCCCCAGGGAGCCAACGAAACAGATGTGCGTGCCCAGGCCTCTGACTCCATGCGGAAAGCGCCAACTGGGGACACGATCACCCACCCATCTCGCGGGCGTCGGCACGACCCCGTGGCACGAGCACCTTCTGGCAGCCAGGGCGAAGAATAGAAAGTGGCCAGTGGCCGAGAACGGCGGCACAGCGATGTCGAAGAGATTGTTCATGCAGTCGAGCGTCGTGAACGCCTACGCGCCCCCGCTGGGACATCATGATAGAATCAATGCGATGTGTACGTGAGTGCCCTCGACGGGCCGGCCATACATGATGGCCCGGTTCATGTAGCCCTTCGTGGCATACTTGTCAAAAGGTAGTTGCCCCCGGTCGGGAGCACAAAGAGAAGATTCATGACAACTCTCAGCGCCTCGCGGATGCTTGGCCCAAACCACACGGGCTGGATACCGAGGACGTAGTTGTCATAGTGGTCTACCCCCCTCCCTCTTCTCGGTACCCCTGAACGGAGGTGGTCACAGACGCTCTGGCTGGGGGGGGCAGCGGTCCGAGTCTAATTTGGCAGACAAGCCTGAATCTTCCGGAGATGCGGCTGCAATGAACAATCCCATTATTTCCGTCTCCATCTCGTTCGCAGTAACCGGGCCGAACGACTACGGCGGGCAGTACTCATCGGTCGGAAGATGTTGGTAGAAACATGAAGTAGGAAGGCGTTGAAAACAGGTTGGGCTCCGTCCGCCCCCATTGGGAGGACGGACAAGGTGAAGCCGCTCGACCACTTGAATTAGGAAGGCGCTCTTAGAATAGATTGGAATCTGGGAAACCAGAAATTGAGTACGTTTAACCGCTCCCCATCCCCAACGGCGTGGCCTGGGCCCCACTGGCCGATTTACCCCCTAGATGGGGATCTAGGCCGTATCCTTCGGATTTCGAAGGGTGGATCCCCAACTGGGGGTGTAATTTGATGAATCTCGAAGGGGATGGGGATGGGGATGGGGATTGGTTTAACGATACCGAGAAATGCATACTTTCAACGACCGAAGGAGGGCAGGTCGTAGCTCGGCTCACGACGTTTGTGGCGCCTCCGGGCGCCCGTGCGTGTCAAAGAAAGGCGCCCGGCGGCGGTGACGAAGCCAGCCTCGGGCAGCAGATGTTACTCAAGAGGCCCCAGGCCACACAAACAAATGGACACGAATAACAGGATTCCAAATATTTCCTCATATTTTCTGGGTGTTCGTCTTTCCCCCACTTCCCATATTTTGTGTGTGTCGACAATTACCCATCGGTCGGAAGAAGTAGGTAGAAACATGAAGTAGGAAGGCGTTGGAAATAGATTGAGTTTCCGCCCGCCTCCTGAAGAGGAGGGAAGAGGGACAACCACTCGACTCTTGAAGTAGGAAGGCGCTGAAAGTATATTAGAATCTGGGAATCCAAAATACCTACTTTCAACGACCGATGGGTAATTGTGTCTGTGTGTTTTTTTCCCCCCTGAGTTGCACAACCCGCCCCCTCCCTGCGGCCAACTCCTCATCCATCATATGTTCGGCCGGTCGCCTGCCTCTCGCCAGAAAGCCGACCCTCCTTGACGAAGGATCGTCCCCATTTGCTCCGAGCTCCTAACTCCTAGCGATGATGTCTCAGGCGATGTGTCTCAGGCGATTTGTCTCCTCCTCCTCCTCCTAGCCTCAGGTGCCAGAATAACGCTTCCAGGTGCCGGGGGATATCGTTTCGCCAGAAGGGGGGGGTGGGTTCTTAACTGCTTCCTCGGGCTAACCCTTGGGATTCCTTCGTATGGGCACTGTGGACGGATGGGTCCTTAACAATGTCGCCCGACATAGCTGCAGTGGTCCGTCGGGTAGATGTGGAAGCGGATATTGATACGTGCGCGCTAATATAGAGAGAGAGAGAGGCGCGCGATCCTCACAACTGTCTTGATCAAAACGCGTGCATGGGCACGCGTGCAGAACCTCAAAAGTGAGGCGGATGGAGCGAAGGTAACGACATGCTCCTTCTCCTCCTCCTCCTCCTCCTCCTCCTCCTCCGCCTCCTCCTCCGCCTCCGCTTCCTCCTCTCATCCTCCTCCTCCTCCTCCTCCTCCTCCTCCTCCTCCTCCGCCTCCGCCTCAGCCTCCGCCTCCACCTCCTCCTCCTCCTCCTTCTTCTCCTCCCTTTACCCTTTCGACCCCTTTCCTCCCTAGACCCTACACCATCGATGTCTCTAACTGTCCGTGACACGTGGGCGCCAGGACCTCTCAATCTCATCCCCAGGACCGGTGTCATTGCGGGCGCATGAGTGGATGACCTCCAGCCCGAAACGAGCTTCAGGAGGCCAAAACTTGCTTGAAAACGATGTTCCTCCTTCCCCCTCTCCTGCTCCTCGACTTCCACTCACCCCCGGCGCCAGGGCCAGCCCGAGCATCCGGGTGCCCACTTGGTCCTCCGACACGTGGCTCCCGGGGTCAGTCACCAGCTCCTGGGCGCTCATCCTCCTTATCCACTGCATCGGCACGAGGGTGAATAAGATGAAGGCAAGGTGAACATAAGCTCGGATAGAACTAAATCGTGAGCCTCTGAGAACCGGCGTCTGGAAGATGTCTCGGGCTCGGCGGCCGTTCCAGAGCGATTGATCATAATCCTAAGCCTACGGGATGCAAACCAGGCTTGTCTGGCTTCCGCTCTTCGGGGGGCCTTCTAGGGGAACGCTGCAGAGGCAGAGGCGATGTGCTGGTAGCGGACATCTCAGGGTTGGCCTTCTCAGTTTGGGGTGGCTACACCTATTTTCTTCATGGGCTATATTCGTTGGCATCGCTGGACCACCACACCTCCATCATCGTCATCATCAGCATCATCATCATCATCATCATCATCATCATCATCATCATCACCACCCCCTCCACCATCACCATCGCCATCGCCATCACCACCATCACCACCATGACCATCACGATCACCATCATCGTCATCATCATCACCATCACCATCACCGTCAGTATCAGCATCAACACGATCATCATCAGCATCGTCATCATCAGCATCAGCACCAGCACCAGCATCATCATCGTCATCATCACCGTCAGCATCATCACCGTCTGCATCAACGGCATCGTCATTATCATTATCATCATCACCACCTCTACCACCATTATCATCATCGTCATCATCATAATCATAATTAGCATCATGTTCATCATCATCAGTATCATCATCGTCATCATCATCGTCAACATCATCACCAGCATCATCATGGACATTATCATCATCATCATCATCAGCATCAGCATCATCATTATCATCACCAGCAGCTGCATCATCACCATCACCATCACCATCGTCAGCACCATCATCACCACCACCATCATCATCAGCATCGAAGTCATCAGCATCGCTAGCATCCGAATGCTCATCATCTTACACGAACTCATCATAGTCCTCATGTCCACGTTCATGATCACCATCATCATCATCATCAGCATCATCATCATTACCAACAGCAGCATCAATAGCATCCTCAGCAGCAGCGGTATCAGAATCGGCATCAACGTTATCATAAACGTCATCTCCATCACAATCATAACCATCACCATCACCGGCATACTCAGCATCAGCATCGTCATCCTAATCAGCATGATCATCGTCATCATCACCATCATCATGCTCGTCAGCATCGCCACCATCGCCACCCTCGCCACCATCGCCATCATCAACAGCATCATCAGCAGCATCAGCATCATCAGCATCCAAGTCGTCAGTAATTATCATCATCCACAGCGTCATCATCAGCATCATCATCAGCATTATCTCCATCGTCCTCATCCTCATCCTTAATCTGGCCCTTACCATCATCGTCATCATCACCATCATCATCCCTCTCATCTGAACTCAAAGCGTCCAATTGCTAGCAGTCGTAAACATGTGGAGGCCCAGGACGAAATAAGTTCAGGGGTCCACTGACTGGCAGCGAGCAGCATGTCTAGATCCTCAGAGGAGGACGACAGGAGCAGTAGTAGGAGGGGCAGGAGGAGCAGGAGGAGGACAAAGAAGTGAAGGGCAGGACAGGGGATGAGAAAGATGAGGAGGAGAAGGGAACTGATCAAGGCGGAGAAGAGGGAAGAACGGGAAAAAGAGAAGGGGAGGCGGAGAAGGACGGCTGGGGAGCAACAGGAGACAGATGAGATAACAGAAGAAGAAAAAGCTGCTCATCCTCTCACTCATTTTCCTCCTTCCTTGTCGTACTCCTCCTCGTCCTACTCCAGAGTCGTCCTCCTCGTTCCCCTCCTCCCGCCTTCTCCCTGTCTCTCCTCCTCCTCCTCCTCCACTTTCCTCGGTGACCATCATCCATCCTCCCCCCTCATGGTATTCCTCACTGCCCCAGCATACAACGCACTACCAACTGCCATTTGCCCGATGCCTACAACTGTATACTCCAGCCTCCCTCCCCTCGCTTCTCCGCCTCCTCTCCCGCCTACCCCCTGTCCACCATGTTCCTGATACTGTTCCTCATCGTCCTTCTCCTCCTCCTCCTCCTCGTGGGCCTCCGCCTCCTCCACTTCTGCATGCTCCTCCAACCCTGCTTCGTATCCTCTTCATGCACCTCGTCCTCGTCCTCGACCTCCTTCTCATCCTCCTCATTCCGTTCCTCCCCCTCCTCCGTTCTCACTCCCACCTTCCCTCCTTCCCCATGTTCTCCTCCCGCTTGTCTCCTCCTCCGCCTGCGCCTGCGCCACCTGCGTCTCCATTCCTTGTCCTTCTACATAACTCCCCTCTACCGCAGCCCGAGGGCACCCGGAAGGGCGGGCCAGGCGTTTAGCCTGAGACTTCCTTACAACTTATGATCCTGAAATCTGGAAATCATATGGAGGGCAGGTGGTTTTCAAAATGTAGGCCTCGCCTCAGCGCCGAGCACAATCGTCTTGAACATCTGCAAGCGTGTCACAGATTGAGAGGGTGTCCTTTTGAAACTGTGATTCTCGCCGTAACGCCGTGCACAATCGTCTGAAACAATTGCATGGACCTCACGGGTTGAGGGCAAGTAGTTTTTAATATGTGGCTCTCGCCTTGGCGCCGCGCACACTCGTCTTAAAAACTTGCGAGAATTTCACTGACTGAGGGCGGGCCGTTTGCAACAAGTGGCTCTCGCCGTAGCGCCGAGCACATTCGTTTCAAAATATCGTAAGAATTGCCAGGATTGAGGACGGCTCCTTATCAACATCCGGCTCTCGCCTTACCGCCGCGCACAACTGTCCCAAAACATTGCACGAGTTTCACGGACTTCATGGTTAATGTACAAGGAACGGGGTTTGCAACGATTCAGGGGCATCAACAGCATCAGCATCATAATCATCATCATCATCATCATCATCATCATCATCATCAGCATCATCATCATACTCATAGTCATCATCGTCCTCATCATCATCAGCATCATCATCATCAGCAGCATCATCATCGTCATCATCATCAGCATCATCATCATCAGCAGCAGCGTCATCATCATCATCGTCATGATCATCATAAGTTGCACCACCACCCACAACATCATCACCACCACCAACATCATCATCACCACCACCACAACTATCATCATCACCACTACCTCCACTACCAACATCATCATCAGCAGCATCAGCATCAGCATCAGCGTCATCCTCATCATCATCCTCGTCATCATCAGCATCACCACAATTATCATCAACATCAGAATCGACATAATCGTCATAATCGTCATAATCGTAATCCGCATCATCATAATCATGAAAAGCATCATTTGGTGGCGAGCACGAACAGGGTAGGGGGAGGGGGAAGGCTTCTTAGAAGGAGGCTGCTTCGTAGGAAGGCGCTGGCATTCCATCTACAGGCAAGGCCCGCGCCTTCTAATAAACAGGGGCGTTTCTAAGAAGCCGTCCCCCCTCCCCCTTATATCCCCCCTCTTCGTGTGGCCGAAACATCATCAATATTATCATCAGCATCATCAGCAGCATCAGCAGTCTCATCCTCAGCCTCAGCCTCAGCATCCTTATCATAATCAGCACGATCAACACATCATCATCATCATCATCATCATCATCATCATCATCATCATCATCATCATCATCATCATCATCATCATCATCATCATCATCATCATCATCATCATGACCATCATCATCATCAGCATCATCATCACCATCATCATCAGCATCGGCATCATCGTCATCATCAGCCCCACCATCACCAGCTTCATCATCACCATCATCATCGTCATCATCATCATCCTCATCATCATTATCATCATCATCATCATCATCAGCATCATCAACATCAATATGTTCATAATCAGCATCATCAGCATCGTGATCAGCATCGTCGGCATCATCATAATCATCGTTAGCGTCAGCGTCAGCATGGGCATTCGCTCATCATGTTCATCATCACCACCACCATCATCATCACCACTATCATCATCATGACCATCATCACCACCATCATCATCATCATCATCATCATCAGCAGCATCATCATCATCAGCATCTTCATCATCGTCGTCGTGATCATTTTCTTCCCTCCTCGCCTTCACAGGAGCCCGTTTAACGCAAAGCCCGGCGGCGAACAGAAAGCTCGAACTCCTCCATCCCTTCACCTCTGCTCCAGAGAGGGAAGGGGGAGGAGGATGCGCGAAGCCGGGGGGCGGGAGAAAAGGGGGAGCCGCAGGGAGATGGAGCAGGGAAGAACCAGAACAAGATGGACAGCAGGAAGAGGGGACTGAGGTGGAGGGGGCTCCCTCCTCGGGACCCCGCGAACGGCGACACCTTGAACGCGTACGTCTTTGTTTCGCTCCGACTCTCAACGGTCTTTCAAGTGCGTTGCTGGGGGGACACAACGACCACGGCCAGGACGCGGGCGCACCCAACAGAACTGCGACCGTGGGTCGCAGGTCGAAGTCCAGGTCTAGCCGCCTTCGCCGCCGCCGCCGTCGACGTCGTCGTCGGCGTCGGCGTCGGCGTCGTCGTCGTCGTCGTCGCCGTCGTCGTCGTCGTCGTCGTCGTCGTCGTCGGCGGCGGCGGCGGCGGCGGCGGCGGCGTCGTCGTCGTCGTCGTCGTTGTCGTCGTCGTCGCCGTCGTCGTCGGCGTCGTCGTCGCTGTCGTCGTCGTCGTCGTCGTCGTCGTCGTCGTCGTCGTCGTCGTCGTCGTTTTCCCGGCTGGATCCGGCAAGGCCCAAGCTTGCAAGGTCCTCTCCTCTTGTGGCCCCGGCCTCATGCGCCCCCGCGGCCCCCCAGGGGGCGAGGGGGGGAGGGAGGATGCGCGAGGACGGGGGCAGGAGAACCCAGAATCGAATCAATGGGTCGGATCGGCGATCGAAGTGAATCGGATCGGCGGAAATCGGCAGCCAAGTCGAGAAGCGTCGAACCGGCGGACGCCGGCAGGCTGGTAGGCCCCCGCTGAGAAATCGGAGCCCAAAATCGGACTCCCAAGCCGAATCGAATCGGAGTCGGAAGCC